CAACTATCTTCCCTTCCATGTGGAGGCAAATCCAGTTTAATCATTTTATTGACACCTAAAGAACGCGTCTGATTCACTAATTGTTACATAGCCAAAAATTGCAGACGTCCGCGATTTAGAAATTGCATTTTTTTCAATCGCGATTATATTGAAAATGCGATTAATTGTTCAGCCCTAATTCCTACAGTAAAAATATAAAATCCTACATATCATCTTTAGATGCAGAAAAAGCATTTGATAGAGTAAACTGGACATTTTTATTCGCTACTCTACATAAATTTACACTCTGTGTACACAAAATGAAAATAAAAGTTGACTAAGTCTAATACTAAAGTCTAAGTCTATTTTGAAGGTGTGATAATGGCGATCAGTCTCTCATAGTAACTGGACACAAACTTGACATTAAAGCAAAAATGCCAAAACAAAAAAAAAATTTTTCTATATTTTAATATTTACATAAATGAAGTTGTAGATTTTCATTTTCAGGAATAATCGGTTCTATTCTTCTCCCGTGCATCTTCCACCGATTTCCCCTGTCATTGTTCTGAATCATGATGGCACAAATGAAATTAACAGCGATCGCAGAGCTGCTTGTTCATCAGCTTCCAGATGATTTGAATAACAAAACCCTGTAACAGCACATATAAAGCATAAAAGCCCCCTGGCAGTGGCGGCTTTTTGGACAGAATCCCACAAACACACATTCAACATGAGCAAGGTGGGTAGAGAGATGATCTGAGTTTATATGTCTGGATCAACTGCTGGGACTTTACTCTACAGAGCAGCAATTCCGAAAACGTGACGTATTAACCAAGAGGGGGAAATGAAATCCTTTCTTCTTTTTCTATTTCTAGATCATCTTCTATGAGGAGAGGAACTTCAAGGGGCGTCACCATGAGTTTATGAGTGACTGCCCGGATATGTCCTCCTTCCTGAGCAGGTGTCTCTCCTGCAGGGTGGAGAGTGGTTGCTTTGTCGTATACGACCAACCTGACTTCCTAGGAAACCAGTATTTCCTGAGAAGAGGCGAGTATTCTGACCACACCTCTTTCGGCATGAGGGACTCCATCCGATCCTGCCGCTTGATTCCCCAGGTATTCACAGGCTATTTTAAAACTATCCTACAATGACTTAATGTAAATTATATCACACATATCCCAGAATGATGATAGAGTTTCTGTTTCTGACTGTTCTACGTCCCATGCGGACTGTCTTTGTGGCTCATTCAACAGAATCAAAGTTCTTTCAGGATGCAAATCTTTGAGAGGGAGAATTTCTTGGGTCAGAGTCATGAGCTGGTGGACGACTGTGAAAACATCATGGAGCGCTTCCGCATGTCAGACTGCCAGTCCTGCAGGGTGATGGACGGTCACTGGCTTATGTACGAGCAGCCCGGCTTCAGAGGCAGGATGATGTACCTGAGGCCTGGAGAGTACAGGAGCATCAGAGAGCTGGGACAGAGCAGCATGAGGCTCAGCTCCGTCAGGCGCATCCTGGATTCTTGTTGAAGCTGAACAGTCATGTGTTCATGAATGAAATTAAAAAGAAATCCAAAACAAAGCTTTGTGATTGTTCTTTGATTTTTCTGTTAGCTTACTTCACGAATATGTTATTGAATACATTACAGAGGAATTATTTTAAATGAGAAACGAGGAAATGTGAAATATTTAAGTTCCGCCAGAGAACACAAGCACCAAAGATAAATATAGAGCTGAAGCCATGACATTTGCAAAGGTAGAAAAAAATGAGAAAACCTCTCTTCATTAGCAAATCCATTCATAGTAGAATTTAGTTCAATATGTTAATTTTTATTTAAAACATCTGAGAAAAAAATGATTAATCAACCGAGGAATTAGACAGATCAAACAATTTCTGGTTCCGGTTCTTTGAAATGTAAGGGGATTTTCATCCTTCAAATCCCCTTAAATCTATTTTCAGAACATCCTTTTTTCAGGGCTTCTATATGTATATCTATCTTTTCATTATTGTTATTTTATTGTCACAAATGTTTAATTTATCTTAAATAAAAATCACTTTACTACCACTTTCTTGTAGTCTACTTCTGTAGCTTATGGTTTCTTATTTAATCCATTAGTTTTACATCTTTCTTCTGAAATGGTTCTTTGTTTTCAAATAATATATTCTCCAGTACCTTTTAGAAAAAGTGCTGGTTTGTGTCAACGTATAGCAACACTTAACACGTTGACGCTGACATTACTATAACTTAACCCACAAATAAGTGAAGTCACATATTTCACAGGAGGATATCTGCCCTCTGACAAGTTTCAAGCACAGCCTAAAGACATAGAGAAGGTGCTGTTAGAACTATGCCTAGTAGTGACCATTGGCTGGATGGACACAGCAAAGCGGTGAACGTCAATATCTCACTGTTTGAATAGGGTTGGCTCTAAATTGCACGTTCATGAGCAGTGTTGCTCCAAACTGGATTTAATTCACCCTCCTGTTGTCCTCATTTTCTGTATACACCCTGTGTCCTCCGGGTCAAAATGACCCGTCTTCACTAAACCCCCAATATAAGCAGCTTAATTTAATTGTAAACACAAAATTTCATCTTGTATATTGTAATCCACCACAAAATGTGTGAAAACTTTAGTTTTCCCTCTCCACTTGTATTTTCTATACATTAAGAAAAGAAAAAAAATGTGCAAAAAATAGTTTCGAATGCATTTTTATTCATCTCAATTACTCATTTTCTTTTACTTTTCTGCAGTGAACAATTGAAGAGAATGTACAATACAAAAATATGAGAAATAACATCACCCATTCAGCTAATTAGCACATGTAGGGCAGTATGCAAGTGCACAGCCTTTGCAGATATTATTTCTTACACCTGCAGCACACAGTATGTGTTTTACAGTCCTTCGTTTGAGGGCAGAACTGACATCTCTTCCTCTTACTTGCCCTAGCTGGGGAAGTGGCTGCGGTTGATGAATCCTTAGGTTGATCATGAGCTGCTGCACTCTGAATAGCTTTCACAACTGCTGCTGAGGCTTCTGTGTGGGGTACATGCTTCCTTCTTTCATTGAGTGGAGTTACAAGTGCCTTTCCTAGCTGCTCCAGGAACACCCTCCTCTTTTTGTGCTTACGAGACATCCAGGTTGGGTTGATCTCTCTCCTAATCACAAAGGCATTGTAGGAGGACACATCAATGATGTTGTGGAAGATGACCAGGGGCCAACACAGTCATTCTTTTGCAGCTATATGTTCCAATAACCTTATCTAGGTTGTCCACACCGCCTTTGTTGCGGTTGTTTTCCAGGATGATGATTGGCTTCCTGTCCTCACGATCACTAATGTCGCCGTCTTTGTGCAGTGTGCTCAGAAGAACAAAATCCTTTTTTTCTTTGGGAGGTAGGAAACTAGAATGGTGGTAGGCTGAAGGCAAACTTTGAGGAGAAGACCTCTCTCTCCTTTTACACAAGCAGTGCAGGTGGGAGCTCAGGCTTGTTCTTTCGAACTTTTTCAACCATGGAGATCTTCCTCTTCAGGAGCTGCTGTCTGAAAGAGTCTGAGTGGCATTGTGGCTTCCACTCTCTGCATCCCATAGACTAGCTGCAGCCTCACCTCGGGACCTGTATACACCTGCTAGGATTAGCAGCCCTAAATAGGCCTGGAGGTCAATCTCATCCATCTTTTTCCAGCTGTCTCCATATTTGAGAAAACCCTCCAGATTTGGAGGTAGAATGTAGAAACAATATCATGGGCATGAGAAACGGCATACCTTATGGGTCCTGGGCTCATCTTTACAATGTTTTGTTCTTCATGCCTACCGTGTTGGTCATATGCTGCTGACAACCTTGTTATTTTGCAAAGTCTCACTTTCAGCTTCAGGGTTTTTCTTCTTCTGAAGATAATTCATTATGCTCTGGGTTTTATTCCTCTCCATCTTCTTCTTCGGATACATCCTCTACTTCCTCTTCTGAATCAGAGTGGTCTTGCTGGACATGTAAGAAAATCACCTCTAAAGCCTCTTCAGTGTTGTCATGCACACTCATGGCTTCAGCACAGACACACTTCAGGGTCCTGTTATGCAGGACCTTTATAACCTCTGGAAATAACAAGTGGTCTTCTGAAGTCTGCGAGAACACCACCTTTTTTTGCCTTGTTTACTTCTGCTATTGATTAGTCTGAGACACAACTAAAACTGTAACATTCTGTGGTTTGAAAATAACTCTGTGACCTTGATTTCAGCTCTATTTGCCTCATGGGTCATTTTGACCCGAAGACCATCTTTGTACCTTTTTTTGTACAGCTTACATGGAAATGTGAATAAAAGCAACAATTAACTTTTTCTATTGTCTTGGCCAATCTAGGAAAAGTCTTAAAATCTCAAGTTAAAAAAATAACATTTGGTGGATTTTTTGGGGGATTTTAACACAGTGGCGGGTCATTTTGACCCGAGGACAACAGGAGGGTTAATTAATCTTTGACACCAAAAGTTCAGAGTCACAACATTTCAGCTGCATCAGATTTTAATTTGAATGAACTTCATCCTCAGGAATATTTAAAACAGGTGCATCTTACTAATGCATCCTCAGAGCTGCACCTTGTGCATCGTAATGGACCACTTTCCAACACATTGCCGTGGTGAATCAACGACTCTGTCTGAACAATACCAACACTGACCACACTGAAGGTCAGGAGACAGGCTGAGGCATCGCTAAGATTTAAAGGTCACAAAATAAATCTGTGAGCTTTAATTTGTCTTCATATTGTCATAATGGGTTTGGGTTCCTAGCCCATATGCAGAACACACTCAGAAACTGGGAAATAGTTCAACGTTTTAATGAAGAATATTAACAAACGGGTCAGGGGGGTAATCAGGTCCAGGGGCTGGTTACGACTGGGTACAATGTTCAGAGGTTTGAATTGAGCAGGCAGAAGGGGGAACCAGGAGGGCTCGGAGGCTGACGGCAGGCTGAGGGCTTGGTGGAGGTTGAGTTTGGTAGAGCTTGTAGATCACCTGGTTTCAATTTCAGTTTCCCTTCCAGATTTTTCTGGGGGCTGGCTGACAGATCCTTGACAGGTTTGGATCTCCAGGGTTCTACTGAGATCAGACAGACCGTTTTCCAACAGAGAAAACTCTTCAGGGGGTTTCTGGTTTCAGGCAGGTTCAATCTGGGAAGCAGAGAAGACAAAAATGGATCAGGTTCAGGTTCAGGTTTCGTAGTCTGGAGACTAGACAGGCAGGTTGGCTCAGGGTTTGGTGTTCCGTGACTGACTAACACTCTGGCACTGGAGTGAGGTTCTCAGCCCGCTTAAGTACTGGTCTCCTGATGAGCAGATGAGAAACAGCTGGTGAAGTCAGCTCCAGCTTCAGGAGATCCAGTATGCCCTCTGGTGGAGAAAGGTAGACAGATACCCCAGATCCCAACAGTAACACAAAACCCCTAGGAAGGGATCCTCGGCGCCCTCTGGTGGGCAAGCCTCAGGATCCCAACACATATTTCATGATATGTTTCGGCTTGGTGGACAGGTCTCCAGTCCATCACAGGGCAACACAGAGAAAAACAGGACAGACATCCATTTTCACACACTCACACCTAAGGAGAATGTAGAGAAGCCTATGAACCTAACAATCATGTTTTTGGACTGTGGGAGAAAGCCAGAGTACCTGGAGCGAACCCATGCATGCTCAGGGAGAACAAACTCCATGCAGAAAGACCCTGGGCCTGAAATCGAATTTAGAACCTTCCTACTGTAAGGCAGCGGGGCTACCCACTGGTCCACCGAGCAGCCCGGCAATAAGTTATTATAGTAAAAATTTTTTCGATCACAAAAACCTTAGCATTGAAACATGGATGTGTGTTTAGGTTTTTTTTTCCCCCATGAAATGCGATCAACCAGTACACAGGAGTTCCACTGACACTGCACAAATCTACATATACATCCACACAGTCAGAAATGACTCAGCAGAAATAATGAACAAGGAGATCCATTCTGTCAGAGCAAGGTTCTTTTGACATTGTAGTCCTGAAATTTATTTTTGCTAATAAAGATTGAACACTGTGTATAAGCTTTTTATACAGCTTATGGACTTTGGACCAGATACACAGTAATACTTATGCCTAAGCTGCAGCTTTAACTGCATGATGCTGTGATTAAACATGTAATCTTCATAGGTTTTGCTTTTGATCTTTGCATACATGTATTTACAGTACTGCATGTACTACATGCTTTGCGTGTTGTGTGATTTTTACTGTTGTTTCTTGCAGGTTGTTATGTGCGTCGGGCACATTAATTATTTTTGTTTCTTTATTTTTTTACCCTTTTAGTGTTGTATAGACCTTAGTTGAGTCACATAAATTTTAGAGTTGATAATTATTTCTTTATTTCTTTTGTAACTGATTTGATTACGTTAATTGGTTGTGATTTTGGTCCGCCTATAAGTAGGCTGGGTTTTTCTCTCTCTCTCCCCCTTCGAACCTTCTGATCGAGCCACCGTCACAGAGAGCGCGTCCTGACGCGATGCGCGCGTCTCCCGTCTTTGTAGGCCGCCGCTGACCTCTCCAGCCCGCCATGTGGTATTTTTGTTCGTTAGCCTTTGTTTTTTGCTGATTTTTTGTAACTTTCACCTGGTGGGACCGGTTGTCCTGTTTTCGTTTTATTTTTTATTTTTTTAGGGTTTTAACTGTTAGTTCGTTACTAGCAGAGGCTTCAACGGCCCTGTATAGGGTTGGCCCTCTGCTGTACCGTTTTGGTTCTTTGGATCGGCTCACCAGGTCCAACTTTCTGTTCATACTTTTGTTTTTTGTTTTTTCTTAGAGTTTTTTTTCGGACACGGGGAACTGGGGAAAAATCTGACTCTCTGTTTTTTTTGTCTCTTTGCAGAAAAACAAACAACTGATCTACAAAAAGAAGTTCCAGAGATTAAGAATGAAAATAATTCTTTTGAACCTCATGTTTGTCTCGTGTCCTCAAATACGTTGTCTTAACACAGGTATTGAAGCAGATAACTTGGAGCTTTCAGTATTTTCTGCGTTTCTCCCCCTGCTTAATTCTCAGCCCCTCTCATTATCCTCCCTCCGCCTCAGTCTCCATATGTTTTTTTTAAATTGTTTTCCCAAAGCCACCTCTAATAATGTTTTTATAAATTATTACACAGTGGAACCTTTTGGCAACAGTCATTATGTTCTATCTGCGAAACCATATCTTTGTGACTCTTATCCAGCACTGGGACATCAATTCCCAGTTCAACCTTAGCAAACAGGACACGTTAAGGAAGTGTGGCAAGAAACCAAATTTAACTTTTCTGGCACTAGTCTGATTAAACAATGTAGGAGTATAGCATTTCTAGCTGTGCTTTTTATCCCTCTGACTGCAAATAGTCCCTGCTGATATTTTCTGCTGTCACCAACCTGTACCCATAGCACTGCCACTGCAGTTGGCACTGCACCAGATGCATTCACAGTGGAATAGTAACCATTTACTGAGCTATTTACTAAACATTATAGCCCCGTATGCTATGCTGCTGAGTAAGATATTTTTTTAACAATGGCTCCATAGATCATTTAGCCATCATGGTGGGTATAAAAGTGACACAGTGGTCTTACCAAAGTACCAGTGCAATCAGGGACAAGACTGATCACCAAAATGGGCAGAGTAAGAGAAGTTTCTGGGTTTTCAACAATAGCAGATAGATTTCTGATCATAATATGAAATTATCTTGTTTTCCAGATCATCTTTTATGAGGACAAAAACTTCCAGGGTCGCTCCTATGAGACCAGCAGTGACTGTGCAGAGCTGACCTCTTACCTGAGCCGCTGTAACTCCTGCAGGGTGGAGAGCGGCTGCTTCATGGTCTATGAACGTCCAAATTTCATGGGCCACCAGATGCTTATTAGGCGAGGAGAGTACCCTGACAACCAGCGGCTAATGGGAACGAGCATGAGTGACTGCATCCGCTCCTGCCGCATGATCCCTTTGGTAAGGAACTATAACTACACTCCCAAAGAAAAAAATAGTTTCATCTGCAGGTTTTTTTTTTTTTTATGAAAATCTGATCACAAGGTCACTTGTAGACCAAAAAAATTTTTTTTCTTGTATGCACATTTTAAAGGTGTAGTAAAAGTAGTAAAACCTGTCCTGTTGTTTATTTTCCTGAAATTTTCATGTCAACTTAATAGCACAATTTCTCTATATGTTTCAATCAAACTCTTCTTTGGTAAAAATGATTCCTTGCAGCACAGAGGTCCATTCAGAATGAGGATCTATGAGCGAGAGAACTTCAGTGGTCAGATGAACGAGTTGATGGAAGACTGCGACTCCATCCAAGAGCGTTACCGCATGTCCAACTGCCAGTCTGTTCATGTGATGGATGGCCACTGGCTGCTGTTTGAGCAGTCCAGCTTCAGAGGCAGGATGATCTACCTGAGGCCTGGAGAGTACAGGAGCATGAGAGACATGGGAACAGGTCCCATGGACATGAGGATTGGCTCCATCAGACGCATCATGGAATCCTGTTAGTTGGGACAGAAAAGATACTTTTATGAAAATTACTAATTGGAAAAACAACTTTTTTGCAACTGGGGTTTCCTTGAAAATCTGGGCTTCACATTTAAGATAAAACTATCTAAAATTAACTGTTTGCTTATTCTGTAGTAAATGATGATGACTGTATCAAGCCAACTAAATGACGTGAAACCACAAGAATGTTAAGAAAAATAAAAAAACAAGAAAAAGTACATTTTGAGTCACTAATTTTCTACTAGCTTTACACCCACACTAACCTTTAAAATAACGTGACTATTTCACTTTAGAGGGCTATTCAGTGGAAAAGGGGGTAGCCCCGCTGTCTTGTAGGAAGAAGGTTTCAGGTTTGATTCCCAACCCAGCCTCTTTCTGCATGGCGTTTGCATGTTACCACCAGTGTTGGGCATATTACTTTGAAAAAGTAATTAGTTATAGTTACTAGTTACTTCTGCCAAAAAGTAACTGAGTTACTCCACAATAAAAGTAACTAGTTACTAGTAAAAGTAACTATTGCGTTACTTTTGCGTTTCTCGCCCCCGTAACCCTCCCCACCCAGCCCCCACCTTCTCGCCGTTTGTTTCCAAAGCCAGCAGAATAGAGCGGATGACAAAGACAAGAACCTGCAGAGAGTTTAGCATTTATTGCAACTCAACGTAAATGACATCAGGGGGGAACGCCATGTGAAGTTTTTTAACAGGGCATTCAGATTCAAGATTCAAGAGACTTTATTGTCATTCACATCACGTGTTACATGAGGTACAACGAAATTGAGAGTCACGGCCCCAGTTACATCCGAATATAAAAAATAAAATATAAAAACTAGCTACAAGATCAAATTATATAAATAGAAAAAAATATTTACAGGTATATAAAAACAAGAAGTAGAGAATAAAATGTATATTAATAGGAATGTACAGGATGGATGAAGTATGAGTAATGTAGCAGCGTGGGAAGATAAATATAGCAGTGCAACATTTTAAAGTGTCTGAGTGTAAACTGCAAATACAGTGTCATTTGGGGGGGTTAGGGGTTGAAGTGACCAAGTTATTGTTAGGGACAGTGCAGTGAGAGAGACTGAGAGGAGTTTGAGAGTCTCACAGCTTCTGGTATGAAGCTGTTTCTCAGTCTGGTTGTCCTGCATTTGATGCTCCGCAGCCTCCTGCCTGAGGGTAGCGGGACAAAAAGTGAGTGTGCTGGGTGAGTGGGGTCCTTCATGATGCAGGAGGCATCTGGTGAGTGTATGAAATTAATAACTGGGGATGTCTAATTCTGAAATCCTGTGTGTTTGGGTTGTTATAGATACTGCAACATCTATCTATCATCTATCTATCTAGATGTATACTCTGTGTGTGACATAAAATATGGATCTCCATCCCTGCCACAAAGGCCATCAAATAATGTTTAAAATAAAGAAATACAGTAGAGAAGGCAGAGTATCCATCCATCCATCCATCCATCCATCCATCCATCCATCCATCCATCCATCCAGATTTCTCCCTTTCTCCATATAGGCTAACATTTCATCGTTCACGCTCTCCATAGTTCTCCTGTGGCGCGAGCACAGGACGACTGTTGCGCGCCTTTAGCGAGCATGCGCATTTCCTGTCGCTTGCGCGGTGAATCGTGCCGCCTGCACTGTGCGGAGATGCAGGGGAAACCGTATGTGATGAGGAAACGCAGCTCGACGTAACACCGGTATTTCCATCTGGAAAACGCTTTTTGCTGCTGGAGTCCTCCTCACTCTCCATCTCTCTGTGTGTGCTGTACGTTAACACCCGCCAGCGGAAACACCCACCTACCCAGCTGACAGACGGAATCTCTCTATACATCAGCCATTCTCATCCTCCCCTCTCTCATGACAAGGCGCGCACGAGTCCTATCATGAAAAAAGGTTCATTGTGCGACCTGAGTAACGTCCAGTAACGGGGTGTCTGCAATGGTAACTGCGTTATGGTTACAGTCAAAGTAATTAGTTAGATTACTCGTTTCTAAAACAAGGTACCGTAACGGCGTTAGTGACGCCTTTAATTTCAACCCCGTTAGTCCCATCACTGGTTGCCACTAAGCATGCGTGGGTTCTTTCCAGGTACTCCGGTTTCTTCCCACAGTCCAAAAACATGACTGTTATGTTAATTGGCTTCTCTAAATTCTCCTTAGGTGTGAGTGTGTGTTTGAATGGTTATCTGTCCTGTTTGTCTCCATGTTGCCCTGCGATGGACTGGTGACCTACCCAGGGTGGACCCCGCCTCTCACCCGTTGACAACTGGAGATAGGCACCAGCACCCCTTGTGACCCCACTTGGGATAAGTGTGACGAAAAATGGATGGATGGAATGGAATTTTGCACATCCTAATTACCTGGAATTAAGCAGACTTGTAAATGAACATTAAAATTCCAATTTTAGGGCAAGGTGTGACATAGCTTACATGTATTTTTATAAAAAGTATTTTAAAATGTACATTAAAATGGTTACATGATAAATACATTGAAATTTATTTTAGTGTTTGTTCATCCTTTATTAAACGTTTTGTTTGCAAAGATATCTAAACCCAGATAAACACACATCAAAAGACAAACTGAAATTTAGTCAACATACTTTTTTCAGAATTTTGTTTGAAAACAGTAAAGTAATTGGCCTGTGCGGGGCAAGTGGGCCCCGATCCCAGGGGTAGCTTTTGCTCGGGGTGGTCTGGTCCGGGTGCGGGCTGGGGGGCCGGTGACACCGCTCTCTCCCCCCCCCCACCCCACCCCCCCACCCCCAAACCAGATTTTAGGTTCCCTTATTGGGTCATCCGATAACCCTGGGACCAACCACCGGTACCGGCGGGTCTTTGGTCCTGGTATTATCGGATGTGAGTGTTATGTGTGAATGTGCGTCCGCGTTTTTTTTTTGTTTTTTTTCTGTGTTGTGTGAGTGGGGGCACTAAGGTTGGAAGGCGTGAATGAGACTGTGAGTTTTTTTTGTTTTGCTTTTTCTCTCCCAGGTTGGGGTCTGAACTGCTTCCTCTCTCAAGCACATCTCAAGTCTCCACCATGTGCGGAGCCCATTCCCCCCGTCCTGCTCTCCCTCCGCTGGCTGGTCCCTGAGCTCGCCGGTGCACTGGTGGACCTCGGGGTTTGGGGATGGATGCCCGAGTGGCTACTGGCTAATTCCTGGCGGCTTCTCGGCGGGACCCGGCCGGGGCCTGGCTGGGGCTCCTGCCGGGGGGTAGGGCGCCCCTGGGGCCTCATATCCCTGAGGGCCAAGGGCCGGATTCACTTCGGGTTGGCTGGCTGCCGGCGGAGCCCGCAGACTCGTCCCCATGGCTCCCGGGGGCTCCGAAATTGAGGTGGCTGAGGGACTTCCTTGGGGCTGTCTCTCCTCCTCCCTTGGTGGGGATCGGATTTCCTGGGTTGGCCCCTCCTTGGTGCCTTCGCTCTTGGTGTCCCTTTGGGCGTTTGGGGATTTGAGTTTCCTGGCGCTTGCCTCGATGCTCTGGGGGGGCACCTCTTCGGCTCTCCACAACCACTACTGAGCATTTTTTTCTTTGGATAAACTTTACATGCACAGGTGCACTTTTACAAACAACTACAGGTGCTTGGTTCCAGGTACTTAGATATTAACTTCCATACAGAAAGCCCATATTCCTATCTTCAGGTAACACAGAGTACATGTCAGATTAAATAATAGTACTTCAGTGATAGTTTCTAGGTGTTACGTTATTGTATGTCTCGTACCATGTCCGTTGGTTGTGCTGTTCTTCTTACATCTCTTTGCAGGTGATGAAGCAGACTGAAGATGTTTGATCATTATCTACCTTTTATGTCCTCTTTCTTTCATCTTTCCTCCTTTTTTTCAGTTTTTCCTTTCCTGTTCTACTTACATTCCACTGTCCATATAATCTGTTAAACTCTGCATAATTATAATAAAGCAATTTATATGCATGAAACAAGCAGAACTCTATGGCAATAGCCGTACTGCTCCACTTGTGAAAGTAAAATCTGTTGGGCTCTTTTTGGCATCAAGACAATTATTCTTATTGCCACATTGCCAGACAGGACACTGTAAAAAAAAAAAAAAGAAAAAAGAAAACATTTAATCAGTGCTTTGTTAACAACAATTCTACTAACATTTGAAACATACCACAAAGCAAAATCTAAATCCAGAGGTCTTGTGGCTGCGATCTGTTTATGCCAGTATGCACCAGTTAAAGAAAGGGGTATCTGTAAGAAATCCTTTCTATGGAAGGTGAGGCAGCATCTGAGGTAACTACTGAATATGAACTGGGTTTAGATCACAGGTGTCAAACTGGTTCCAGAAAGGGCCGTATGGTTGCATGTTTCTTTCCAACCAAACAATAGCAAACTAGACTCCATTCATAGCATAAAGTCATTATGTTCAGATTGCAATCCCTTGATGAGTTGACTGGATTCTGGTGTGCATTTGCTTGGTTAGTGAAAAAACCTGCAGCCACACGGCCCTTTCTGGAACCAGTTTGACACCCTTGGTTTAGACTGTTTTTATCCAGTTGAACCTACGGAGTTAGCAAAATTATTACCTTCATCTAAGCCTTCAACTTGCTTGTTAGATACGGCTCAAGTTATTTAATGATGTATTCCCTCTGATTTCTACCTTCATTTTAGATTAACCTATCCCTGTTACAGGGATATGTACCTCATGTCAAGGCTCAGAACAGAGAACCCAGTATTCAAGCAGACAGACAGTATGATATCTAAAAAAAAGAGTTTATTTAAAGTGACAGATCTGCAGTGAACAGCTAGGGCGTCTAAGGCAGTAACCTCTGCATGAAGAAAACACATGTTAGGGACCACATAAATCTGGTAGAGGAAATTTACAAACGTGTGAGTTACTTTCCTTGTCTTAAAGTACAGTTTGTACACAGAGGACACGGAAGGTTCCAGCCGGTCGGCTGCCGACAAGATGTGGCACACGCTGTGCCAGACGTTCAAATCCCGGAGACCAAGCAGGAGATCAGATCCGAGCAGGCAGTGGA